TATTTGGGTACATGTACCCTTAGGGAAAGCCAAGAGTGCGAGAAGAGCTCTTGGTACCGTTGTGCAGGCTTTGTGGACTAGATGGCGGATTAGGATTAAGGGGCTTTCGGGCTTCGGGCTTGGATATGTTGTGTAGTGCGAGAAATGTAGCTGTCAGCGACCTACCACAAGCCGTTGTTGGGGATGATGAATCTCGAGTGGATGGAGCTCGCCTCAACTGTAGCTGATCTGCTGTCGATGTGGAGTTAGAAAGAGGGCTCCGCAGAAACTCCAGCGCAATGTGCAATAGTATTCCCTTGTAGTCCGCATGTAGGTACAGGCCCAACATATACCCCCCCCCCCCAAACTGATTTTTGTAGACGACGTCAGGCTGCAGACGAAGTTCGCCAGGGCAAGCTACACGACCATTTCCCTCTCGTCGTGTGGCAGACGGGCAGTGGTACACAGACAAACATGAACACCAACGAAGTCATCAGCAACCGTGCCATTGAGATTTTAGGTGGGGAGCTGGGTAGCAAGTCGCCGGTGCATCCCAACGACCATGTCAACCGCAGCCAATCGTCCAATGACACCTTTCCAACAGCGATGCACGTTGCCGCGGTGCTGGCACTTCAGAAGCGCACCTTGCCTGGACTGCGCCGGCTGCATAAAACTTTGGTGCGCCAAGCCAAAGAGTATGACGACATCATCAAGATCGGACGTACACACACGCAGGACGCAACGCCGCTGACACTGGGCCAGGAATTCAGCGGCTATGCAACGCAAGTGGAGTATAGCATTGCCCGAGTGGAGGCTGCTTTGCCGCGACTCCGCCAACTTGCCCTGGGTGGCACTGCCGTGGGCACGGGCCTCAACACCTATGCTGGCTTTGCGGAGCGTGTCGCCAAGGAAATTGGCCGTATCACTGGCGAGGAGTTCGTGTCGGCACCCAACAAGTTCGAGGCTTTGGCTGCTCATGATGCCCCTCAGAGGTTGAGTTCGTCGGATTGTTTTATGTAGAAGTCGCAATAGTTACTCGTTCAGTAGCATCTCCTTGTAGTTCCCTTATAAGCATACCATTGTATACCACAAGACCCCATGCTAACTATGTTTTAGGGTTCCCGGGTCAATGCTCACGTCTTGGACTCCTACTCCACAATGCTACATCTCAACTCTGAATCTAGCCTAGAGCAAGCGAGCAACTACATACTCGGCCCCACTAAAGCTTGAACTGTAGCATCGCGAGGCCTTACTAATCTTCATTTAAGCTCAAGTCCTACGGAACACTGAACAATGTGACTTTGAGAACACGAGAGCCCTATTGTGGAGCCTAAATGCTAGGATCCTTACTGTAAGGATCACTAAACTGGAGCCCCTACTCTAATTTTCTGAGAGTCCCAAATGAACCCTAAAGGGTTTAGGGTTTAGGGTAAACCCTAAACCAACTTCCAAATGCCTGGCCCCCTTTTGAGAGACTTTGCATGCGCTGCGAGTGCACCGTAGCGGTCCGAACAGCTACCAAAAAGCAAACTCCGAGGCCCTAAACCCTAGACCATAAACCCAAATGAACCCTATAAACTTTCTATAAACCCTAAACCCTAAACCCCCCTAAACCAGATTCCAAGGCTGTGGTAGAGGCCTCTGGGGCCTTGAACACTGTGGCGTGCTCTCTGATGAAAATCGCCAACGATGTCCGACTTTTGGGATCGGGTCCCAGGTGTCTTAGCTGGAGTTTAGGGTTTAGGGTTTTAGGGTTTAGGGTTTAGGGCTTAGGGTTTTAGGGTTTAGGGTTATAGGGTTTAGGGCTTATAGAGTTATAGCGACTGATGAGCAACAGTTGGGCTTGTAGGCTGCTCGCAGCGTGGTGTTAGGGATTCGGCTTTGCAGATGCCGAGTCTCCTTGAGGTCTGGTTTAGGTTTAGGGCTCTGGGGACAAAGGCGTGGGGTCTGGGGCCCTAAACCCTAAGCCCCAAAACCCCAAAACCCTAAACCCTAAACCGTTCTAGGGCCAGTATGCGGAAGCAGATCGAGATCTCACCTGGTTTCTAGGGGCTCTTGCGGCTTCGGCTGTCGGAGTTCTTAGGGATCTCGGAGCTTTGGGGCGTTCAGTGGTAGAGGATTCGGTATTCATTGGGTTCATTGTACCCCTCGAAGGTCATGTCCTGCCTTTTTTAAGGTACCTTGTCCTGTGGTTAGAATTCAGGCTGCAATATAGAAAAAGTTAGGTATCCGGAAAAAAGGGGTAGGGTATGACCCTATAGGTCCTATAGGTAATTAACATCCAAGTGAGGTGCGGTTTGGGTGAGCTCCTTCTCCCAGAGAACGAGCCCGGATCATCCATCATGCCAGGGAAGGCGACTGGGTGCTTGTTCAGAGATATTGATTTAAGTTAGGGTTTAGGCTTAGGGTCTAGGGTTACGTTATGAGAATTAGGAAACGCTATGCCGCTGTTTTCTTTCTATGGATCCCTATGATTGCAACTTGAAAGCAAGTTCTTCGACAAGCACCCAGGTGAACCCCACGCAGTGCGAGGCCTTGACCATGGTATGCTCTCAGGTTATGGGGACTCATGGTTCTTGTTAAGGAGCTTTTGCTGTGGAGTTTTTGGGGTTTAAAAGGTTATCTGGTAAAGCATGCTGTGTTTTAGGATGGTAGCTTATGCGAAGTTTTTCCAAACTAACCCTGAGTCCTCCAGTCAGCAGCTTCGGTACTTTTTGTTGGTAGCAGTCGGGTGGTCGTGGTGGTGTCGTTATTCCGGTAGAATAGAATCCTAACTGACCCTTCAGATGCCCAACACGCCTTAGGAATCTGAAGAAGCATTATTAAGGAATCATGTTGCCATTACGGTCGGCGGCTCAAACGGCCACTTCGAGCTCAACGTCTTCAAGCCCAGCATCATCAACGCTTTCCTGCAGTCTGCCAACATCCTCGGCGACGCCGCTGCTTGGTCCATGAGCTCTGCTGGATACCTGCTGTGGAGGCCCTAAACCGGTACCCAGAGAACCCAATACACCTTAATTGAGGAATCTACCCTAAATTCTAGGGGTCTTATTATCATGATTTAAGGTATATTCCTTAATTAAGGGATGTTGGGTTCTCTGGGTAGGCGTCTGGTGTAAGGGCTCTGCAAGAGAGGCCTCAGGCAGTATACTTTAGAAGGAGGCTGGGTTCGGTCGCGGCTATGGGATAAGCTGTCTAGGCACCGTCACTGTCTGCGAACATATCAACCTTAAGCCCGAAGATGCAATCTGCAGTACTTCATATAGTATTGTGTTAGAGAATCTGCATTAGTATGAGCTTAGACAAAAGACATGCACCCCAAGCCCTGCACCCTAAACTCGAAACCCCAATCTCTTCGGCTTAAACACTACCAAAAAGGGGTTTAGGGTGTAGGGTGGAACCTGGACCAGTAAGGCTGCCTCCTTCTCCAAAAACTGCATGGAGGGCCTCGAGCCTAACCGTGATCGCCACTCGACCGTTTTCCGGGTTTGGGGTTTAGGGATGGTTAGTTGTTCAGGATTGAGGGTTGGCAATAAGCTGCGCACTTCTGCTCGGTCGGAACTGGTCAGTACATGCTCTACAGATGCTTGGACCCTGGCTCGGGGCTAGTAAGAGCGGCAAGCCCGGAACCCTAAATCCAATCCCAGGATCACCAAACCCCTAAACCCTAAATGCCTAAGTCCTCAACCTGAAACCCTGTGGCCCTGTGGACTCTCCGAGGTCAGTCATCTCAGGTGTTGGGTGCTTGCAAGAGTGCGTTGTGCAGCTGAAAACGGGGGGGGGGGTGTGGACATCATACTTATACTTGGGCTGATGTGTAGGGTTGGGGTTTGTCACTCTATGTACTGTGTATGGTGTGTTGAATTTTGGGCTTATACTGTTTTGTTTTTTTTTGTGGCGCACCTCACTGACAAGCAGAGGCATTTCCAAGCTGATGAACGAGAGCCTGATGCTTGTGCCCTGGCTTCAGGGCAGGGCTTACTGGGTTCTTGTTAAAGGAACTTGATTCAAGCTACCAGAATTGTGCGGAGATAGTACATGATATGGTTTAGTAGGGATTCATTCTTATGGCAGCTTAACATGAGACGTACACTAAAAGTCCCGAAAATTACAGGCCAGGTCTAGGTTGAGGGCCGCAGATGAGAGTTGTCTTGCTCAAGCCCTGGCCTGCTGCTTTCGTAGTCTTAGCAGTTCAGGGCTTTTTTTTTGGGCTTGGGGTTTCTAGGGTTCCTTTAAAGGGGTTGGGGTTTAGGGTTCAGCGTTTAAGGTTTAGGGTTCCGTTAAAGGAAGACCTGCAGGTTTTGCTCGCTCTGCACTCGTGGAGGAGGTAATGCTGCATAGGTCAGATTCTAAGCCCCGAACCCCATGCCCAAAAAACCATCCTAAGCCTAAACCCCAAACCCTAAAGATGTGTAGTCGAAACGCCCAAGCTTGACACGGATTTTCCGCATCCTGTCTTCAAAGAGCCCACAATATACAAACTTTGCAGGGGGATTAGCTAATTAGACTTCAGGAATATACCATAGGTCATACACACTCCTACGACCCTTATATTTTTGAGGCATAATCCCAAAATAACAGCTCATCTGGCTGTCAGGTGACAGCGCTCAACCCTTACATTGGCTACGACAATGCAGCTGCAGCAGCCAAGAAGGCCTCGTCCGACTCGGATCAATTCAGAAGGCTAACTGACTAGGGTTTAGGTTTTAGGGTTTGTAGGGTTTCGTTTTGTTGGCTTAGGGTTACAGCAAATCTGCTGCCTAGAAACGAAAGGCATCTAAAGGCATCATGATCAACGGACTATGCCAAGAAGCCATAGATTGTACTTTAAAAGGTTGCTCTGCGGGTCCAATGTGCCTCTAGAGAACAATACGTGCCTTAGATTAGTTAGTGCCATTATACATGTGTATATATATAATAAATCTTGTGTGTATATACATATATACATATATATACGTATATCCATACGTATGTATGTATGTATGTATGTATGTATGTATGCATGCTTGCTTGCTTGTATACAGACCATACACAGAAATGTACACGGCTTATACACATACGTATATATACTTATACATACATGCTTAATTACATACATACGTACATACAGACATACATACAGCATGCACTATGGGTAAATGAAGCCTTACTTAGGGAGAGAGTGTTCGGGGCTGGTGGGGTTAGGATTTAGTATATGCTAAACAGAACATCGAAGATATGCCGTACTTCCATTCTCGACAACATTGAAGCGGTGGCAAACGATCCTAAACCCTGAAGCCTAGGAGCCCTAAACCCTGAACTGTCGATGTTTCACGAAACCCGGAAGCCTCTGAAGACCTGATGATTTAGAGTTTAGGGTTTAGTGGGGACCGAGAACAGGAATTAAATCCTGGCGCCATTTCAAAGCCGTAATAACAAGCTCGCAAAACCGCAAAGAGCCCTACCCGCACCATGTTGAGAGGCTCTTGACCCCAAGCCCAAAGCCTATACCCCCAAAACTCCCAACACCCCAAAAGCCCCAACATCCAAAAACATTAGAACGCTGAAGCCCTACAGCCTTAAAGGACTACCTCCGGAAGCCCTAAAGCGTAAGACCCTAAACCACTAAAGCCTGAAACCCTTCGAACCGTTGAGCCCCTAATGTTGCCCTAACTTAACCCTAAAGCCCCAGGTGCTTAACCCTGAACCCTTAGGCCCGAAACCCGAAACTTCCCTAAACCCCACGCCCTAAACCCATAGGGTTTAGGGTTTAGGGTTTAGGGCCTAAAGCCCTATAAGCCCGAAAGCTCTAAACGAGGCTCACAAGGAGGGCACCTCGCTGAAAGAGGCTGCCATGGCCCTTGAGCTGCTTAGCTCCGAGGACGGGAACAGCTCTGATTTTCACTTAGGGTTTAGGATTTGGGGTTTAGGATTTAGGGTTTAGGGTTTAGGATTTAGGGTTTAGGGGATTTAGGATTCAGGGTTTAGGGTTTAAGGTGGTCCCTATGGCCACGTCACAGTGCCTACATCTTCGGCAGCACATAGGGTCTAGGAGGCAGGATGAGCCCAGCCCCTTTTCCGCCTAGCTCTGGCTTCAAAAGGGCTAGGGACCGATGACTGAATCCCCGTCCTGAGTTTATAGCACCACTTAACCCATAGGCCCCTTTGTGGGATTACCTTATAGGATTCTAAATATCAACCACAAAAAGGAACTACTTAGGGGCCTATGGGAAAGCACCAGAATGGTCAGAGACCCGAAATAATATGATCGGTTGTATGGGGCGCGATGCAAAGAAACCCCGCACAAGCATCGTCCCAAGAAGAGTCTATGTGCCCCTGTACCACATATCCTCACCATGAAGTACGCATACAGGAACCCCTTAAGGCTTATAAGTCTATACTTTTTAGAGACGTGGACCCGTAGCATCACCGCGCTTCGGAGAGGACTTCGACAAGTGGGTCCGCCCTGAGCAGATGATAGGGCCATCCGAGTACAAGAAGTGAGCAGTGCTTTCTTTCACCGACGATCCCTAGACTTGCACAGCCATACTCGTAGCTCCTAACATGGCAGACCTCTTTGCACTGTGAGGGTTCGTTGAGGTTGTCGTTGGCTGCCTTGACGCATTTGCAACTCTACTTGCTGCCCCACTGCTATGACGAACCTTTTGGGTGCCGCCTTTGTTCTCCGTACAGATATCGCGAGCAGAGCTCGGCGTAGAAGCCTTTGTGCGACGTACTCGACGACTTTTTTGGTGATTAGGCTCTTGTTGATCCAGTTTTGCTGAGCCCGACAATGGAGGCTCCTAGAACTCTTGAGTTCCGTACAGTCAGCTTTTGTTCTCCCGAGGCCAGGATGTGATTTGTAACAAATCTGTAATCAGAGAACGGCCTTGTGACCAGTATCTGCACATCGTTCCGCTATTGTTTCTCAGAAAAGACCCAAGGAGCTCTATGGCGACACCCTAACACCCTGAGCCGAAAACCAGAAACGCTAAGCCCTAAAACCCTCAACCTTGAAAGCCTCAACCCTAACCCCCCAAGGCCCTTATCTCAAAAAGGGCCGGCCCCCCAAGAACCCTAAACCCCAAAGCCTGAACCCTAAACCCCAAACCTTAAGCCCAACAAAAACAAAACCTAAGCCTAAAGCCTACCTATAGTCTCCATTGTAGTTCCGTTTTGGGAGGGTTAAGCCAATTTAATAGCTGAGATCCTATAAGGCATCCCAAAAAAGGGACTACAATGGAGACTATAGATGAATCCTGAGCACTACCGAGACCCCCCAACCGCCCCCTACCATACCCTAAGACCTGCGATTAAAGACCATAAACGCTCCATTATGACAAAATATTCAATACTATGAAGGACCATCACAAGGGGATATGCCGCAAATCCAACCATTAAGGACCATAATCAGGGAATACACACCAAATACCACCTATTAAAGACCATGATTACCAATACTATTGTTGGGGGATCCTTAGTATACATAGAGTATAATGGGCCACAAAAGCTTATGCTAATTATTACGGCCACTATATTGCCCTAAACCCTAAGCATCCCTAAACCCTAAACCCTATTTGAGGGTACAAGGGGGGTCCTGGTAGGCTTGGCGACGATGGAGCTTTGCCTTGCCTATCGAAGCAGGATGACTGAACTATAGGCTCTCGGGTTTAGGGTTTATTGAGGTTTAGGGTTTAGGTTCAGGGTGTAGGGTTTAGTATAGGATTTACGGTTCAGGGTTTAGGGCTTTGGGCTTCTCAAGGTTTAAGCTTAGGGTTTATAGGGTTTAAAAGTTTAGCCCCAGCTCTGTAGATCCGAACCCTTTCTTGTTCAGGCTTCAAGTGCTTAGCGCTTCCTGGGTCATTGGGGCTTAGGGGGTAGGGGTTTAGGGTTTAGGGGTTTTGGGGTTTAGGGTTTAAGGGTTGTGGGTTTAGGGTTTAGGGTTGGGGGATTTAGGGAG